GCCCTATAACAACAGACGAAGGGGAGGGCATGCCCTGGAACAGAGGAACAGGAGGGCATGCCCTGAAACAGTGGATGAACGGGAGGGCATGCCCTGGAACAGCAGATGAAGGGGAGGGCATGCCCTGGAACAGATGAAGGGGAGGGCATGCCCTGGAACAGACGAAGGGGAGGGTATGCCCTGAACAGATGAACGGGGGGGGTATGCCCTATAACAACAGACGAAGGGGAGGGTATGCCCTGGAACTGATGAATGGGAGGGCATGCCCTGAACAGATGAACTGGGGGGGGGGTATGCCCTATAACAATAGACGAAGGGGAGGGCATGCCCTGGAACAGAAGATGAATGGGAGGGCATGCCCCTGAACAATGAGCATGAAACCTTTGTTGAGCAAGAACTACCAAGGCACCTTGATTAGAGATGCCCACTCTGCAGTGTTGGGCTGCTTACCCGTCAAGAGCCAAGTTCAGGATACCCCTGAACACTTTCCCCACAAGCCCACACCAGCAGGTTCAGGTCTCCCTAGACTTCTGAAGCAGAAGAGGTACAGCTCCCCGTGTTGTCTATAATCCACATTCTCAACCTTTTACCATTATGACACTCGCTTCCTTATCAAACTATCACAGTTCAAATCCGCATTCCACCACTACAAGCCACGTGAATGTGGGCAGGTGACACCAGCCCCCCATGTAACTATGTCCATCTTGTGAAGTGTGTGCCCTTCAAGCACACACCCGTGCAGAGGAACCTCGGCCAGGCTCTGCAAATATGAGCTCTCATGGCATTTGTCCTCGAAAGGCGGCGCCAACCCAGACAACATGGTCTGTGGTTTAAAGGCTGGTCCTGCTGAAATGAAACCCTTCCTCCACCCTCCCTCAAATACTCTGTTTTCCAGAGAAGCCTGCGGGTGGGACAGTACCCATGAACCAGGGAAGGCAGAGTAGGCTCCAGTGGGGAGGGACAGTGCAGCCACGGTGTGCCCCTCCCAAGCCATGAAGACTCTGATTTTCCGTAAGTACTGCCACCCTTTTACCAGGAAATTAAAAGGCGCATTGCCATAGGAAAGTCTGCTGTTAGGGACCTCTCCAAAGTACTGAAGAGCAATGGTGTCTCTCTGGAGACTAAGGTGTGTCTGATACAGGCCATGGTCTTCGCAATCACTTGTTATGCATCAGAGAGTTGGACAATGACCAGGGAGGATAGAAGGAGAATTGATGCCTTTGAGCTGTGGTGCTGGAGAAGAGTATTGAGAATACCATGGACTGCTAGGAAAACAAACAGATTTGTCCTGGGAAGGGTTAAACCAGGTGGCTCCTTGGAGGCAAGGATTCTGAGGCTCCGTCTAACATACTTTGGACATGTTGTGAGGAGAGACTGGTCCTTAGAGAGGGACATCATGCTTGGGAGGGTGGAGGTACAGCGCAGGAGAGGAAGGCCCTCTATGAAGTGGATTGATTCAGTGACTGCGATAATTGGGATGGGAGTGTTAGAGACAGTGTGATTGGCACAGGACAGAGCGGAGTTTAGGGCTGTTGTACATAGAGTCGCTATGAGTCGCAAACGACTCGACGGCACATAACAACAACAACACTGCCACCCTAGGCTATGCAATGCACACCTAGGTCACCACAGAGCACCTGTCCACCAGCAAACAGGTGTGGGTGTGGGACACCAGTCCTGGCTACACTGCAGGGACAGGCTCGGCAGGTGACTCACTCTTACTGGCTAGTTTCACTTCCGGGTTTCCACAGACTCA